TTCCATCTCTCCTGTCTGCAGGAAAGATGTAATACAGACCAGTCTCCTCCATTGTTCATGAATCTGCAATAAGTCGTTTGGAAATTTGCATCGAGTAAACTGTGACAGAAAGGACCCCTAAGAATGGAGAGCTTTGCCTGCTTGCTCCAGAGGGCAGCTCGTCCCCATCTGGGCTGTCTTAGTTAGAGGCCTGGGGCATTCAGGAGGACTTTTTACCATCTTCAAATGAGGCTCCCCTGAGAGAGATACTTTAGGGAGAGGACAGAACCGGAGACTGCGGGTAAGCTTCCAGGTTCTTTGGTCGGAAGACTTTGGAAGCCTTGCTTTTTCTCAGTTTCCCCATCTGCATTTATAGGGCAAACTTGATTCATTTGAGCAAAAGAAAGGCCACAGCTGCTTCTAGGTTCCTCCAGCCTGGGACTGGTGCTGAGGGATGGTTTGTGAAGCACATTCCTTTCCTGAGGCTAGAGCCCCAAGCTTTGTGCTACGGGAGGCCTTTGTGACCAATGTCAAAGCAAGAACTCTAGGAGTCAGCCAGAGCAGGGAAAAGGAAATGGCACCTTCAGTTGCTATTAGAAAAGACTGACTATTGCTGTACATAAATCTGCCCTTAACACTGCCTACTGCCCTCCATCACCATCAACTCTGCTATTCTTCAACATATGCAGGTGGCCTTTTTGGTGACTCTTGCCCTACTTTCCATTTCCTCCTCTCCCTCTTGGCCATGACTCTAAAAGAAGGGCTGGTTAATTCATCTGGAGGTCAACTGTGAAAGGTCAGGCACATGCACCGAGCATCCTGCTTTCTCTTAATAACTGCTAGGACTTATGATCTATGGATCTAAACCCCTGTGTATTTTCAGTTGGTACATTTTTTTTAATTGCATGTCACATGGTTTATCTCCCATTGGGGAGACTTTTATTTGTCATTAATTTACCTTTTTTAAATTCCTGCAGTAGCCCTTAGCAATTTGGGATCTAAAGCAAGGCGTCTACAAGTGGTAGAAACTAACTTTGAACCTAGTAATTTCTGCCCTTAACTAACAGATCTTAGTGAATAGCTATTTTCTTTTAAATAATTCCATTCTTCCCTTTACCCAACATGTCCCTTGTCGAGAGTGGTTGTTACCAATACCTAATGTGAAAGCCCAGATCTGAAGTGACAACAGAAAAAGTCAAGTCCCTATTTCAAAGTCTTTACAAAAGAAATAAACTCTTCTGTGAACAGCGTGGGAACACCTCTCATTTTGGGTCTCCCTGCATTTGATGGAACATCTATTTGGTTCTTAAATGTGGTGCCAAGTGTAATATTTAAAAGGGCTGGCATAATTTTGCAGCTTTTGACCTCATTGGAAATCTTGTTCACTTTGAAAAAAAAAAGAAGAGGAAGAGAGAGAGAGAGAGCATTAAAATGCAGCATGAATCTCATGACATTTTTGAGAGTAAGATTTTCATTCTGAGATGATATTTTCTGCAGTAGCCACTGGAATGACCACAGGGAAGGGGAAATTCTCCCCTCACCAAGAGCTTCCTGTTATTTTGGATGTCCACCAGCAGGTTAAAATAATCAGGGTGGGAAAAAGTTATGGATGTTTATACAATTCCCAGCTTGCTCCTAGAGCATTCAACAGTTATGACCCTCTTGCCCTTCCTCTCCCTAGACCAATGGTTCTCAACTGGGAGTGATTTTTGTGCCCCAGCAGACATTTGGCAATGTTTGGAGACCTTTTTGGTTGGTAGTGTGCTACTGGCATCTAGTGGGTAGAGGCCAGGAATGCTGCTGAACATCCCACAAAGCACAAGTCTGCCCCCCCCCACACCAAAGCACAAGTCTGCCCCCTCCCCTCCTGAATTATTTGCCCGAAATGTCAGTAATGCAGAGGTTGAGAAACTCTGGTCTAGACTTTGAGGGCTTGTTAGATGGAGGACTTGGAATGAGAATGAAGAGAGGGCAATTCTTTAATGTGGTCCCTGCTCTCTTTAGCCCCTGCTTTCAGTTCCCTCTCTATGGAGGAGAACAAGAGAGGAAACAATCATCATAGCTTCCATTAACTGAGTGGCATGTACTAAGTGCTGGAATTTTTTCGTTTAATCTTCACAATAAGCCCTACTGACTATAGACTCCTTGAGAGTAGAGTCCATGTCTGTTTCTCTCCTTACTGTACACATTATGTCTAGTACAGTGCCTGGCACATGGCAGGCCCTCAATGTTTGGATAAATGGAGTAACTGTATCTATTTTATACATGAGGAAAATGAGGCCTGAAGAGTCCAGACAGGTAGTGTAACTAGCAGAGTCAGGATTTAAAGTGAACCCTTTGGGACTTCAGCCCCAAATCACTTACCCACTGAATTATGTCCTTCACTGGCAACACCAGAGAGGATTTCTAGCCTCTAAAGTCACTAGCGAGGGGCTGGAGCAAAATAAGTTTTTTAAAAATAACGCATGAAATACAGAACTACCTCTATGTGGAAACCAAGGTGGAAGAAGGGCCTCATGGAAACTTTCTGTGGTACGGATGGGATCATCCCCTGTTTCTGAACAGTGATCTTGGCTTTTTTTTTTTTTTAAAGATTTTATTTATTTATTTGAGAGAGAGACAGAGAATGAGAGATAGAAAGCACGAGAGGGAAGAGGGTCAGAGGGAAAAGCAGACTCCCCGCTGAGCAGGGAGCCCGATGCGGGACTCGAACCCCGGGACTCCAGGATCATGACCTGAGCCGAAGGCAGTCGCTTAACCAACTGAGCCACCCAGGCGCCCTGATCTTGACTTTTCAAATGCTTGTGTGTGCGCCAGCTGAACAGCACGTTTTGCGATGGGGAAACTGAGGCATGGAAGTTACATGAAAAAGTGGTAGTAGAGGACTAGAACATGGCACTTCAGATAATGAATGCTCCAGGTCCTGGGCACCCGCCGGAAGTCGCTGAGAAAAGAGCTTCCCGATAACTGGCTCAAATTCTTCCTTCCCAGAAGTAAAGCCCAGATAACTTCTTAGTCTTTACACCCTAGAGACCGAAGTCGAACGGGACTACATTTCCCAGCTGCCATTGCGGAATTCGGCAAAGCGCAGGCGCACTGAGGTGGTATGTGTACTACCACTCCCGGTGTACAGTGGGAGGGGGCGGGACTACATTTCCCAGGAGGCAGAGGAAGGGGCGGGACGGGGCGGGTCTCGGTGCTGCGCCCGCCCCTCCCCCGTGCTCGCGCGGAGAGGTAAACAAACCGCGCGCGGG